TGTCTTGCTCGCTGCGGAAGGCGGGCGGGAAGGGCCGTGGGGGGTGCGGAGGGAAGTGGGGAGAGCCCTGTGTCCCTCCGGTCCCTCGGTGTGCCGGTCCCCTGTGTGCCCGGGCCGGGGGCGGGCGGGGAGTGGCCCTGCACCGGGGCCTTCCCGGGGAGCGGAGGAGAGAGGCTGCGATTCCTGTCCCAACCCCAGAATCGGGAAGAAAAAGCCTTTCCTTTCAGCAGAGACTCATGCATCAAACTTCAATTTTCCGGACGATTGAATTAGTGATTTTTTTTCTCCTGAACTAAAATACACTTAAGTCTTTGGGATTAATTACCACGTTCTGGTCCCTCAGACTGTAGTATTAGTTATCGTTGCCATATTCGACATCAGCCCTGACACCTCATAAAATAAGGAACTGAATTTCACTGACTCAACCTGCTTTAGCCCTGTTGGATAATTCAGGAGGGGGCTTTATTCTCCGTCTGGGAGCCCTGTGTGAAGTGAACAAGATCAAATATGGATCTCCTCCACCCCTCCCTCAGAAAAAAAAAAAAAAAAAAAAAAAAAAAAAAGCAGCATTATAAAAAAACCCAAACCCCAAAGAGAAGCATTTCCAAGCAGACAACACCCCCCACCGCCCCCTCCCCTCCCGCTGCCCTCCCACCTCCGAACGAAATCCAAGGCAGTGTCAGGTTTGGGGATGAAGGATGGGGATGGAGGGGTGGGGGTGGGGGGCGGGGGAGGGCGCCGGCTTCTGCGTTTGAGAAATAGAGTTTCTGCCGGGAGGGAGCAGCGGGGGGCGGGGGGCGGGCTGGGCCAAGCCCCCCTGGGGTGGCCGTGCCCGAGGCAGGAGTGCAGCCACCGCGCCGCGCCTGCCCGCGCCCAGCGCCCAACGCCCCCGCCCGCCCCCGCGGGGGGGACCCGCGGCACCTCAGCCCCCGACGGGGCGGGCGGCGGGGGGACCGCCGGACCTCCAGCCCGCTCCCGCAAAGCCGCCCCGCCCCCCCCCCCCCGCTCCCGCACATCTTTTTGCCAAACTGCGGATTTTCATCTCCCCGGGCCACGAGCTGAGGGGGATTTCTCAGCCCTCCTTGGCCGCATTTACACCTTTATTTTTCCCGTCGGGAATCCTGCTTTTCCCACTTGAATCCGGACGCTTTTCGGTGTGATCCGTTTGGGAAAGGCCGGTCTCTACCGCTGCCCCGTGCCCACCTCCCCACGGAGGGGAGTCGCGGGGTGCCGGTCCCCGGGGCAGCGAGCACCGGGCCTGGGGCGAGGAGCCCCGAAACGCTCCGGGTTTGCCCGGGAGTGGGAAAATGGGACGGGCTCTGCCCCCACTGTGAATCCACGCGGGAAGAACAGGGGGGCAGGGAGAAGGGCAGGCAAGGGGGCCGCAGACCCAGGTGGTCCCGGCCAGCAAGTCCCGGGGGTCTCGGCCCAGCTCCTTCCGTGCTCTGGAGCGGAGCGGCCGGGGCGGAGGGGCAGTTCCCCCGCCCGCAGGGCTGGCTGGTTTAGGGGGACAGGGTAATTTGGGGGTGTGGGGAGGACAGGAAGGGTTGTGTGCCGGCCCTGCCCGGCGCCCGAAGCGTTGCTCCGAACCGGCTGGGCAGGGCTCCGGCTGGGTCAGCCCCGAAGGGCACGTTCAGCGCTGCCACCGCGTCCCTACGTGTGCTGCGGGGAAAAAAACCCAAACAAACAAACAAAAAAAACCCACAAAAAAAAAACCAAAAAACAACCCCCCCCAAAATACGCCCGCCCCCCCCCCCCAAAAAAAGGGAAAGAGACAGAAAAAATAAATTAAAAATAAGAGTGAAAAAAAATATTTCAGGTCGTATCTAAAATTCGAGGGAGAGCAAACCCCGAGCAATAAATCTAGCTAGCTAGGTAATCCCAAGAAGCGGTGCGTTTCAAAATGCATGACAAATGAGGGGCACAAGCCGGCGCTTCATTTTTAAACTAAAAAAATAAAAAAGCTTTTGTTTTTTCTGTATGCAAATTAAATAATCAAAATCCCAGCTATTTGGAAATGGGGGGCGATCCAAATTAACATGCTGCAAATCTTCGAGAGGAGGCTTTATTTACTAACCCGCCCCAGCCACGTGTGGTAAACTTCTGCGGGTGCAAGGCGGCCCGGCATCTCTTCTCTTTGCACAGAGAAGTCAATAGATCAGAAATCCAAATTAACTCCCAGCCTATTTTCCATACACCCAGCCACCTTTTTTTTTTTTTTTTTTTTTTTTTTATTTCGTGGTTATATTGAATTGTAGTGTTTGCAGCCTCATTAAATCCATTCCAAGACAAAAGAATAAAAGACTGGGGGGAGGGAGGGGACAGGAGAGGAGGGGGAAGAGGAGAGGGAATGGGGGAAAAAAAAAAAAGAACAGATAAAGAAAACAAATAAAGCCCTTTAACTAGATCTTCACATAAATGTCACAGTTTCTCAGCATTTACGATTTGCCTGTTTAGCATAAAAACACTTAAGGACAAGATTGAAGGCTTTCCGAGAGATCTGGACAGAAGTCAAAGCTATCACTCGGAGGTACAAAAAAAAAAAAAAAAAAAAAAAAAAACAAACAACAAAAAAAAGAGGGGGATGGCGGGGTGGGGGCGGGAGGTGGCGGAAAACAAGTGCTCTTCCAAATAATACTAAAGAAAAGTGAATTTCATTGTAATTCATAGGCTTGTTCCAAATACCAAGAGAGAAAGAGAGAAGAATAGAAGCGCACAGATGCCCCGACGAAAGGAGAACAGCTCTGCTCCCATTGTTGTGGAGTTAAACAGTGGAAGGGAGGGTTAACCTAATCCATCAAATTGTCTGGAAATTGTGAAGAAAATTCAAAAACCATATGGTCTCCAAGCGCTCGCCTTCTCTCTGCTGCGGAGGGGCACGCTTGTTTCAGCATGGCGAACCGCAGGAGGCTGTATATGCTCCATTGTCGCTTGTCACTTCAGAGAAGAGGGCTCATTTGTCCCCAGTTTTCATGCTTTACGCTAAAAATTACAACCCCATCCATTCTCAAAGAGGAGAAAGATTTATTTAGCCTCGGAGAAACTGGACCAAAAAAAAAAAAAAAAATCCAACCCACAAACCAACCCTGTCTTATCTGGACACTTCTCCGCCGAGCTCTGCCACTGTACACCAGATTTGTCTTTCTCACATAAATTTTGCAAAGAATAGGGAGAAACACACGTTGCTCGGCTCCAAAGGCAGGTCACGCTGCCAAGAGAAAACACATTCACCACAGCCTTAATTTTGGCGAAGAGGGGGGGAAAAAAAAAAAAAAATGAAAAGGGAAAAAAGAAAGAGAGAGAGGGGGAAAAGCGAAAAAGGAAAGGGAGGAAACGAAACATTTTCCAGCCGCGGGTCCCCGTAGCAGCGCTATTGCCCAGAAGCGGGAGGGCTGGCCCGCCGGCCGGAGGGCAGCTCCCCCCGCTCCCACACTCCGCTCCTTTTGTCCAAACCGGCGATAGCTCCTTCCCCTCCGCTCGGATTTGGGGTTTTCTTTCTTTTATTTCCCCCCCTGCTCCCTTTCCTCTCTAATTTCGGGCTGGCGATGCCCCGCTAGAGGCGGGAGCGGCGGTGCGGGCGGGGGGTGCCGGTGGCCCCGCCGCGCTCCCGCGGCCGCGCATCCTCCGAGCCGAGGAAGCGCTCTCCGCATCTCCTGCCTTCTTGAGCCGCCGGGATCTCCCCCTGCTAAACCTCTACCCGGCATTAACCTTGGGAAAAAAAAAAAAAAAAAAAAAAAGTCATAAAGTTCTCTCTCGTGTGCTCCTTCCCCGAAATTTTCTCACAGGCACTGCGGTTAAAGTAACTTTAAATGCAAACGGGATGGGAGATTCCTATGGGGGAAAAGTCTGTCGTGACCTCGGACCAGCGGAGCACTTTTTCGTTCACAAAGAAGGACGTTAAAAGTATATTAAAATGGTAAAGATTTTATTGTATCGGAAAAAAGAGCTATCTGTACAATTCTAAGAGACAGTAAATAAAGCGACGTTGTCCCTATCGGAACTTAAATAGCAGGCCTTTTAAAATTTGTACAATTCAAACAAAAACAGGTCTTAAATCTGTACATTTCTTTTTTAATTTATAGTGTAATATTTAAATGTATCGATCTTGGGATTTGTCCTTTTTTATTTCCGTAGCATGCAAAAATTCTAAAAAGAGTAAAAAATAATTCTAGGATTTTTTTTTTTTAATTTTCGTTTTTTTGTTACCACCTTCATATCAAAAATACGAAAGGCAGCTTTTTAATAAAAGCACAACAATAGCAGAAAATGGTAAAAATAGCTTTTAATTGGTAAAATGAGGCAGAAATTGCATCGGAGACAAATCTCTATGCTCTAGGAAAAAAAGAAAGTATATATTTTTCAACTTGCATTATAACCCATCCCCAAGTTCCCAAGATTGCGAAAGAAAAAAACATTTTTAAAAAGAAAAAAAAAATTACTTCGTGCACATCTGAAACATGCAAGGAAAGGAAAGTGGCTAATTTTTTGCTGATGCCGTTTTAAGTCTAACTTAAATCTCCTCCAAAATGGTTCGTTTCGGAAGTCTTTGAAAACAACTGCCTACCCAAACATCTGTTGGAAGCGGAGTTTATTCCAAGGTTACGCGTCTCCCTTATAGACAAAATAATCGTCATTGATAGCTATTAAAAAAAAATAATAATCAAAACCTCAAAAAGAAGGGGGAAGGAAAAAAAAATCCAATATATACGTTTAAATATTTATACAGAAGCCGTCCGTAATTGCACCATTCCGAAGATGTGACAGGCGGAGGGATATCGACTCTACCCTAAATTAATTCGTGTTTGTGTGTGTTTGTGGTGGGTTTCTATTGCTTATTGCTCCGACCGAGGGGGAGCAGCCGCCTCGCCGCGCTGCCGGGGCCGGGATGGGGGGGCCGGGGGTGCCAATTTGGAGCTGTCGGGGTGGGGGTGGGGGGGAGCGGGACGGGGCGGGGGGGAGGGGGAGGCGGTGGTGGTGGAGGAGGCCCGGCCGGCCGCCCCTCAGTCATCCACGTCGATCTCCACGTCCTCCTCCTCCTCCTCCTCCTCCTCCTCGCTGTCCCGGCGGCTGCGGGGCCGCTCCGTGGGGGGCGAGGCGGGGCGGGGCGGCGGCGGGGCGCCGGGCTCCCGGGCGGCGGCGGGGGGCGGCGGCGGGGAACCGGACCGCGCCTTGCCCCTTCCCTCGGCGCTGGGCTCCAGCTCGGCCAAGGCCACGATGTCCACGGCGGGGTTGGGGCCCAGCTTTTTGGCCGATTCCACGTCGGCCTTCATCTCCTCCAGGTCTCGCTTGAGCTTGGCGCGGCGGTTCTGGAACCAGGTGATGACCTGGGCGTTGGTGAGCCCCAGCTGCTGGGCGATCTGGTCCCGGTCCGCCGGCGACAGGTATTTTTGGTAGAGGAACCGCTTCTCCAGCTCGTAGATCTGGTGGTTGGTGAAGGCCGTCCGCGACTTTCGACGCTTCTTCGGCGTTTGCCGCTGCCCGAAGATCGTCATCCCGTCCCTGCCTGCCGACGAGCCGCCAGATTGTCGCCGCTTTCCCCGTGTCCACCACCCCCACCCCCACCCACGCGAGCCCCCAGCCCCCGCGACCCTCCCCCGTCTGTATCGGGAGGGAGCGGGGCAAAACCGCCTCTCCCGCACCCCGAGGGCCGCGGGGGGGAAGATGCCGCCGGGTACCGGCCGCCCAGGGACCCCCCCCATCCCACCCCGTGCGACATCCCGGGAGATGGGGGTGGGGAGGGGGGGCAGGAAAAAAACAGGCCGTGGGGAGGAGCAGGGCACCCACCCGCGGGAGGATCCCCCCACTTGGCGAGGGGCTTACCTTCGGCCGCCTGAAGCACGCTGACTTCCAGCCCCTTGAAGGTTTTGCTGGCCAGCTCTTCCAGGGCACAGAGGGGCGAGGTTTGGGAGAGCAGCGCCCGGCCGGAGAGGGGCAGCCCGGCCGGGGGGTGCTTCTCGGCGGCGGAGAGGAGGTGGGCCGTTCCGCAGAGGGTGTAACTCCTCCGCACCGAGGGCTTGTTGAGGATGTCCTCGATGCTGAAGGGAGTGAGGGGCTTGTTGGAGTTGGCCGGCGGTGGGAGGTGATCCAAGGGGCTCCGCCGCCGCTCTTCCCCCGAGGAGGGCTTGGGATCTTCTTTGGAAGTCATGGTGGGGCCGGGCCGCGCGGGGCTGCCTTCCCCACCCGCGACGGGGATGCGCTGCCGCGGGGAGAAGCCCCCGGCGGGACCGCGGGGTGACGGCGGCGGAGACAGCGAGCAAAAGTTGAAGCCCACCTCCAACTCCGGCGGAGGAGCCCCGGGTCCTCCCGGGGAGAGCCACGTCGGGCGGCGGGCAGGGCGGCGGCCGGGAGCGGAGCTGCCGTCGGTCCCTCGCCGAGAGGTGGTCCTGCCGCACCTCTTGTCCCAGGGTTTTGGGTCGGGGATTTTTTTTCCCCCCTCTCTCTCTCTCTCTCTCTCTCTCTCTCTCTCCTCTCACTCTCCGCTCGCTCGCTCTCTCCTCTCTCTTCCTCTTCCCAGATGCTATTTTAAGAAACACCCCAAATCGCAGCACTTTCCCTACCCTCCCCCCCACAAAAAAAAAAAGCAAATACCCCCCCAAAAATAATTAAGAAAAAAAAAAAAAAAGAAAAGAGAAAAAAAATTAGAAAGCAGACTTCGGAGAGGGGGAGAGCAGCCCTTGCACCGAGACCTCGGACCAGGGGGAAAGAGGCGAGAAGAGACGGGGTAATTGACTATTGCTAACAAGTTATTGTTGATTGGGAGGTAATCAATTATCTTCAATGACACTTTTCGCCCTCTCTCTCTCTCGCTCTCTCTCTCTCTCTCTCTCTCTCTGTCCAATGCAGGCTTTTGCAAGTTCGGAGACCCATTAATTAGGAGGCGGTATGGAGGTGGAGCCCAGTTGAATTATAATGCTGAATGCACTTGTCATATTCTGGCCCTGCTATTTGTTTGGACATATATATTTTTAAATTACATTACAAACCAGCCTTTATTGCATCAGGATAATACAGTATAGTGAAAAATAATAATAAGAGAAAACAAAACAAAACGAAAAATATCCGGCGGTATCTTTTTTTTTTTTCTTCCCCCCGAGATTTTTTTTTTTTTCTTCTCTTTCTCCCTCCTGTTAATTTCGGCTACTAGTTTATTTAAAATGTCTCTCTCCCGCTCTACCCAGAGCCGTTTGATGTTTTAATGAGGGGAAGAAGGGGAGAGCCTGGTTGCAGGTAAGGCAGACCTTTCCTTTCCAATAAAATCTGAAGGTTTCCGCCGAATTTGTCGTGCTCCTCTTTCCCAGAGCCCTGTGTCAGAGCGGGCTGCGGGGGCCGGGGCGGGGGGCAGCTGGGCGGTGGGGCAGGCCCCCCCCCGGCAGGGTGCCGGTGCCGGGGGTGCCCGCGGAGGAGCTGCGCGGCGGGGCGCGGGCCGGGAGCGTTCCCGGGGTGTCGGCGGGTGATCCCGGTCGGGGACAGCGCGGGGAGAAGGGGCAGGCAGCGGCCGGGCTGGGGAGGGGGGGGGGGCGCCGGGGAGGGCCGGTTTCCAGCCCGAGGCCTTTTGCTGCCGTCCTCCGGGCGGGTCTGCGTGGGGGGCGGCGGCGGCGGGGCGTGCTGAGCCCCCCACCAGCGGGGGAAACCCGGCCCGGCCGGCCGTGGAGGTCAGAACCGCTCCGTGATATTTGTACCCGGGCCACCAGCCCGCTTCTCTCTCGCCGCTCCGCAGGGCCGGAGACAAAACCCGAAGCCGGGGAGAGGTGTGTGTGAATGTTCTGGCTCCCACTCTGCGTGGGGGCACCCCACCACGTTCCTCGCGGTGCGGCCGGGCCGCGGCCCCCGGGCCGGGCCGGGGCTGGACAGGGCGGGCGGCGGCGGCCGGACGCATCGTGGGGCGGCGGGGCCGGGGGGACAGCTCGGGGCCGGGGGGACAGCCCGGGGCCGGGGGGACAGCCCGGGGCAGGGGGGACAGCCCGGGGCCGGGGGGACAGCCCGGGGCAGGGGGGACAGCCCGGGGCCGGGGGGACAGCCCGGGGCCGGGGGACAGCCCGGGGCAGGGGGGACAGCCCGGGGCCGGGGGGACAGCCCGGGGCAGGGGGGACAGCCCGGGGCCGGGGGGACAGCCCGGGGCCGGGGGACAGCCCGGGGCAGGGGGGGACAGCCCGGGGCAGGGGGGACAGCCCGGGGCCGGGGGGACAGCCCGGGGCCGGGGGACAGCCCGGGGCAGGGGGGACAGCCCGGGGCCGGGGGGACAGCCCGGGGCAGGGGGGACAGCCCGGGGCAGGGGGGACAGCCCGGGGCAGGGGGACAGCCCGGGGCAGGGGGGGCAGCCCGGGGCCGGATCCGGCCCCAACTTTCCTTCCTCACCTTGACGGGCGGGAGGAGGGCGGCCGGCAGCTCCCTGGCCGCTAGGTACCAAACAAGCACAAAAGAAGCAAATGGCTCCTCTCCTTAAAGCGCCCTCTTCCCATTTTTTATAGCTCTCTGGGAGTCTCTTTATGCAGTGACCTATTTTTAAAGGCCTATATTGGGTTATTCATCATATCAAATACTGCGAGGAGCTGGGGGGGAGCCGGTCGGGGGGGAGAGAATTACACTGATTCTAAATCGCCCGGCTTCTTTGCTTTGCTAGGTGGATTATTTGCTTCGCTTTGCTTGGGTTTTATGAAGTGATTTAAACATATTTTAACCAATTAGAGACTTTCCTCCTCTCCCTTGTGTCCCCTCGCATTATTTTCCGGCGTGGCGTTTTATGTCAGGATCCGGGTTTTATTGAGAACTCAGCCGGGGATGCTGGTGTTATAATTACAGAAATAGGATTTAAAAAAAAAAAAAAAAAAGAAAAAGAAAAGAAAAGAAAAAGAAAAAAAGGAAGGTTTTTTTTTTTTTTAAAAAAAAAAGAAGGAAGGAAAACCAGTCTTGTTCCTGAGTAGAGAATTTGGGCGGCGGGCGGGCGTTTGGGATGCGCCGAGGCGCCGCTGGCCCCAGGCTGCAGCCCGGCCCGCTTTCCCCGCGGAGCGGAGCGGAGCACCGGGACGCAACTTGGACCCCTACCCCGAGCGCAGCTCGCTTGGCTCAGGGCAGGGACAGAACTGCGCCAGACACGGCGAAGCCCCGCAAACCGTTCCGGATCCCCTGTTGTCCCCCCCACCAAGACCGCATCTCCCCTTCCCTGCCTGCACGGGGCGACGGGGCTGTAAATGCACCCCGCTGGGTTTTTTTTTGGCTCCCTAGTAGATGTAGGGCCCGGGGGGGGGCGGGCAGGAGCCTCGGGACAGGCTCCCCGGGCCAGGGGAGCCTTTCTTCGTTTGCCTCGGCCTGGCAGGGGATAGCGGGGTTCGCGCTTTGCATGAGTAGCTCAGTCCAGCGGCTCCAGGCCTGCCGCCTGCCCTTGTCCCCGGCGCCAGCCCCCTCCCCAAATAGCACCTCACTAGCAAGGGGGTGGCTGGGAGGGAAGGGGGCACGTTCCGCCTCCCCCCCCGCCCCGAGCCCCTCCGGCGCTCCGGTGCTGCCCCGGCGGGGTCCGACCGACCCCTCTCCGCTGTGCTCTCGGCTGCTTGGCAGCGACTTTGGTGGGTTTGGTTTTGTTTCCCCAGCGCTCACTTTGCCTTTGCAATCGCTGCAACTCTCTCCCTGCAAACGACTCCCTCTCTGCTCTCCGGGGGTGGCCAAAATTCAGAGGAGGGGCAGGCTGGGTCGCCCCCGCCGCGGTTTAGGGGAAGAGCTCAGCATCCTTCCTCCGCACCCTTCGGAATTAATTTAATTTTATTTTTTTTTGGCAGCCCGCTTGGCACCCAGCCCGAATTAGGGACCCTCGGTGCCCCGCGGCAGGTCCCATCGCATCTCCCCGTCCTCGGAGGGCCCCGGGGAACGGGGGGGGGGGGGGGCCACCGAGGGTAACTGGGGGGCACCTGGGGGCCGGATCCGGCCGCCAACACGGAACTCCGCATCCCGCCGGGGTCTCGCTGCGGGTCCTGTCTCCCAGATTTGGGGTCGTTTGGGGAAAAACGCTCTCCTCCGAATCCCTTCAACTCCCCCCCCTCACCGCCATACACACTTTTGCCACCTCCAGCCCGTCTGAGAGGGGGCCATGCACTGATCCCCTCCTGGTGCAGTCAGGAAAAGTTTGGGCCGGATTCCCGGCAGAGAGGCAGGGAGGGGAGCAGGGCTGGAGGGAGTGGCAGCCCCTCGCTGTACCCGGGGATGGAGGAGGGGGTCCCTCGGATGCGTCGGGGAAGTATCGCTCGGGGCCCTGCCCTTCACCGGAGAAGAAAAGCGAGTAAAGCAGCGGCCTTTCCTCCTCCACGGAGCAGAAAACTACCGCTGAATCGGAAACCGCTCAGGTGGGAGCAAAAAATCCCTCTGGCTACGGGTAGCATCTTTGGAGGCGTCTGCCCTGGCCGCCCCCTGAGCCATATTTCGGGGTGTCGGCGTGGCTGCTCTCCCCCGGGAGCCGTCCCGGGCACGGCAGGCAGCGGCGGGGAGCTGCCGGGGCTGCCCGGCTTTGGCTTTGCGCGGCCCACTCTTGTCCAGGAAAATGTCACAGGAATATAATTAAAGCAGGCGGCATAAATCATTCAAGTGTTGATCACCAAAGTAACTGCGTACAAATGACACCTCCTTTCCCAGCATAGCTGAGCCGTGCATGGCTCCCAGTTATGTCTGCCTACTTTAAGTGCTCTAAACACGTTACCGCTCCCTGTTAGCAGCGCGGAGAGAAGCAAACTCCGTGCCCTTCAGCTGACAGGGAGGGCCGGGTCCTGGGACAGCATCCCGCAGGGGCCGGGGTGGCGAGCCGGGAACCTAGGAAATAACTGTTATTTTTTTGTCTTTAAGCTCTCCCCAAGTTTGGGGCTGAGAGTGCCGAGAGGCGGAGAGAGCCCGGTGGGACCCGCCGTGGAGCCCGGAGGAGGGAGAGCAGCAGCGGAGCCCGAGGTCCCTGTCCCAGACTTCTCTTGCAAAACTGCTGGTAAAATGTACCCACAGGTGTCCCCTGTCCCCGACGCCGCCGGGCGCTGCTCGTCGTTGCTCCCCTTGGAAAACAACCGGCCCGAGCTGGGCGCCCGCCGTCTCCCGGCTCTGCTGGGGAGGGGATGCCGGGCTGCCGGGGGGCACGGCGGGGCTAGAGAGAAGCTCCCCGGCAGAGCCCATCTCTTGAGGTCGTTTTACACCTATCGCCCCCTCCTTCTTTCCCTCGCAACCAGTTCCCTGCGAGGGAAAAAAAAAATCGCCTGCAGCTAAAATAAATCCGACCCAATCTCCGCACCCCTGGCCGGGGAGCCGGGGGCAGGGGCAGCGCGCCCGGCCCGGCCCGGCCCGGCTGGAGCGCACCGTCCCCACGGAGCCCCGGCCTCTCCCGGGCAGAGAAAAGCGGAGAAGCCGCCGTTATCTCAGGGGTCCCCGGCAGCGGGGATGGGACTTGCGCGGGGCTGG